AAGATTCGGACTCAAATTTAAAAATCGTAGACACTTTGGCAAATAATGATCCCGTGCATCGCAAAATAAGCATGTTAAATGATTTGAGTTAGTAGCAGATGCAATAAGTGTATTTTGGTTATATTTGTGCAAGTTTTTTCCCACCTGCTGGCCTGGTGTTGAGTTACCAAGTCTTGATCCAAGTTTTCCATCATCCTGCACCTCTTTTCCAAAAACGACTCCATAGCATCCCAGGTAGACAGCTCAGTGATTGACAAATCCTCTTCCCATTTTTCCCGCGTCCTCTGATCCAGTTTCCGCGTGACGACGTGAATTAAAAGTCCATCCAAAATTTGTTGCGTATTGGCCAGGGTTCGAATTGCTCGCAGATACGAATTCATGCAATCGCTCAGCTCCCGAAGACCCTTCGAAGATCCCTTCTCGACACTTTTTAAACCTAATATTGCCTGAACATGTGCCTGAAAGTGTAAAACTTTATTATCAAATCGATTAACCAGCAAATTCATAGCCTTTTTAAAATTAGCATTCGAGGGTTAGAGCGAGCGTATGGTTTCCAGAGCCACGCCGCCCAAACTCGAACGCAAATATTGTAATGTTTCAATGTCGCTTAGCTCATCATCATTTCCGATGACCGTAGTGAAAGTCGCAAGAAAATCCGGCCACTCAGAGTAGGATCCATGAAAACGAGCAATTTCCAAATTTGGCAACCGAGGCTTTCTAGATCGAAAAGAAAGATCCGCATTATTAGTGATGTCAATAGATGTTGAATTTGCAGCGGTTGAAGCCGGCAATTGTGACTTGCGATGAGCCGCCAAGCCTCGGCTTAGTTTCGCCTTCACATCCATGAAGACTTCAGCAAATTCAATCCGATGGTCGCTCGAGATCTCTGCAAAGTCCAGTCTTTCCAACGATGTCTGCGCAGAATCAAATGCCTGGTTTAAGGAATTGATCCATTCCATTCGCGCCAGCAAATCAGATTCGTCAAACTGATTAACCGCATCAGCGTTTAAATAGCATTTCATCGAGCTCATTTGCCGCAAAATAGATTGGGCTGTGAGGAGGTGAATAACTCCCCACAAATAGAAGCAGCAGCAGATGGCCGGCCGCTTACCAGATACGCGGCGAATTCGCGTAGTAACGGCGTGGCGAGGAGAACGAGAGAGTTTGGAGACCAAGGGTGGAGATCGAGAGAGTTTGGAGACCAACGAAGGAGAGCGAGAGAGTTTGGAGACCAATGAAGGAGAGCGAGAGAGATTGGAGAACAAGGATGGAGAGCGAGAGAGTTTGGAGACCAATGAAGGAGAGCGAGAGAGATTGGAGACCAAGGATGGAGATCGAGAGAGAATGGAGACTTCGCGGGCAGAGCAAGAGTGCCGTATGCAGAAGGGGATAACGGAACTCCACTGGACTTTGGACTCTCCCGTGAACTTTGGACCGGGAGAGGAAGTGCCACATCTCGGCAGTGGAGCGGCAAACAGGCGTGCCACAAGCGGCACGGGAATCAGCGGAACGGCAGCAGTGGGCGGAACATCTATTGGAAGCGGTACATAAAGGACAAGTGGGTCATCCAGGAGGCACAAACTTTGGACCCAGAGTGGAGAGATCCAGCGGGCCGTGCGCAAAAGGGAAATAACGGTGCTTGGAGGCCCTATATAAGGCCGCAGAGCGCTGGCAGCTGGATCAGTCGATCAAGAGGAGTCAAGCCTTCAAGATCAGTAAAAATACCAAGTGAGCAATCAGTCAAGCAAGTAATCTACGAGGGAGCTACAACCAAGCGAGTCGTCGGAAGCAGCGCCGTGGGAAGCATAGAAGGAGCAAGATCGCCACGTCGAGACGTTCGGGATTAGGACATCAGGAATCTCCGAATTGAGACACAGGTGGCTGAGTTCTGAAAGGCATCACGCGGCTAAGTCAAGGCGTTTGTTTTCTAACTTTGTCACGACCACACCCTGGAGAGCCCTGCGATTACCGGCGAAGTTCCCGAGCAGCGACCGCACAGCTCCCCGAGCGCCAGAACAACGAGATACTGGCCAGAAGACAGCGCAGAGGACATCGACAGCGACGCCAGCAGACATTTCCGGCAGCCACGTTACCATCGCCGCGCGGAGCTCATTGGGGAGCGCAGGAGCGTCGCGGACGTCACGCATTAGGGTGAAGCCGGGTGGAACGTTCGTCTGCGCTAGGCGTAAAGCGAAGTGAACCGCTAGACAGCCTCCGGGCGGCAGCCTTGACTGTCAGCGCGAACTGAGCAAGAACCTAGCGGGACCGTCCGGGACAGAGCAAGGGACAGTATTGCCTCGAAAGGCGTCAGCCTGGAGAGCAAGGCTTGTTCACCCTAGTCTGAGAACGGTGACGCTTCCCTAAGCCCACAAGGCCGAATTCTCTGCGGGTCTAAGGCGCGACAAGCGACCCCGAGGCAACGCGTCGGCAAGCAAGCAGAGGCGGCCACTACGAGCGTCCCGAGACCCAGGATCCAGAGGAGGACGAGTCAACGCGTCGAGAAGCCAGAAGGAGGAGCACCAGCAGCCGGCGGAACCAGAACAAGGAGACACAGAAACCAGCATAGCCACACACCCGCTGTACCAATACCACGAGAATAAATCCCACTGTTACCATTTGAACACGTTGTTTTCTCACTGATCTACGGGCAATCACGTCATATAAATTTGGTGGGACGAACACACAATCTTCTGAGCTAGCCGCACGAATCTCGTAGCGAGCAGACATACAAAATCAGTTCGTTACAGGGCTTTGACTCGGTAGTAGTCGACGTCACTTGTGGATTCATTTTGAGCCCGAGCCGAGTTTTCCGTATCAGACATTTTTCAATCACGAGAAAGAAAAAAATGAAATGAAAATGAAGTAAAGTAAAATGTCCGACCGCGTTAGAGGCACAAAACACCGTATACCCTTTACCGAGAAAACGTGAAGGTTAACAAGCGTCGCCGAGATGCAACGGAACCTTTAACTTTGTTGTTGTTGTTCTTGCCGATAAATTGCCTGCCTAGCAACAGCGGATTATGTAACTGGCAAACGAATGTATGTATGGCTTTATGTACATGTATATATGTAATATGCGCTATTAACAAAGATTAAATGCGATTCACTTTGTTAAGAATTATTTGCACAACACAAATTTGGTGCTTTTTCACAGCGCAAAATGTACAAAAAATCAAACGGCCGGCTGTGCACTTTTATATGCACATATGTATTTATGTATGTTCGTATGTTTGTTCGAATGCACGATAACGACAGCGAAACAAAGCGTTTGTTTAAACTATATTAAACAATCGCGAGACCGAGCTGCAGACTCCGATAAAAACTGCTATCACGTCGGGGTCATCAAATGTTTTTGGGGAAGACAACAAATATTCCACCCTTATAGTTATAATTAATAACGCACGAATAGGTTATATTATAATGTATAGCGTTTATTCGGAGCGGCAGACGGACTGTGAATGTGTAAAAAGCTTGGCTCCAAGATCTTCATATAGGCATATGCAGGCTTACAAAGTAGTTGCTGAATAGATAAGCGACAGCTTTAGTGGTATAAGAAAGAAGGCGAAAGATAAGCACAGAGCGCTGCAGGTGCCGTCGTACACCTATGCGCGCATGACTAGGCGCTGGCAATCTGCTCCGAACAGTTTGTGACATCCGTCACAATTTTAAGGGGCATATGTTCTAAATATACTCTAAAACGACGAAGAGCTTAAATAATCGCAGGTGTTTCGAGCTCGAAACTGTGGTACCTTGATTCGGCTGTCGAAGCCTTTAATGAATAATAAAAGACTGGATGCATTTTGCCATCGTTCTGTCTCTGCAATAAAACTGCTCCAAAACCTCGAGAACTGGCGTCAGTATGTAATTCCGTTTCACGATTAGGGTTAAATATTGAAAGTATTGGCGGAGATGATACACGATTTCTTAAGTCCTTAAAAACTTGCATTTGTTCTTTATCCATCGGGAACGGTCCTCCTTTCTTTATTAGTTCAACTAATGGTCGGGCTGTACATGCATAAGACGGAACAAATCTACGAAATTATGAGAAAATACCTAAACAAGAGTAAAGTTGCTTTGTATTATTCGGAACAGGATAATTTTGTATAACTTCTAAATGCGAATCATTAGGCAAAATCCCTTTATTGCTGACACTGTACCCTAAATAATCTATTACCTTGCTTAAAAATTCTTAAAATTGATTTCTAAATGAAGTTTTGCTAATCGTTCCAGCAATTGTACCAAGATTTCAAAGTTTTCCTCTACTGTTCTTGTAACTACTACTATATCGTCCATGTAAACAACAATTTTGCGATTTCTAACCAAGTTTATCAGACTGTTAGAAATAAATCGCTGAAATACTGATGGCCCATTTCGCAATCCAAATGGCATTCGCATATGCTCAAACTGTCCTTGTGGCGTTACAAAAGATGTATACCTTATAGAACTTTCTTTAACACCGACTTGATGGTACCCACTTTTTAAATAAATAACCAAAAACAATTATTTCCCTCTAAATACTCAAGACAATCTTCTATTAAAGGCAAAGGGAAATTATCACAAACTGTGCACTTATTAAGGCTTCTGTAATCAACACATAATCTGATTTCACCGGTTTTTTTAAACTAATACAATTCGGGAGGCAAATGGTGAATTACTCGGACGTAGTATGTTATCGTGTAACAACTCTTCAATTATTTTCGAAACGTTATCTCGTTCAAAATATGATAGCCGTCTAGGCTGAAAATGAAAAGGAGTATCACTTATTAGTTTTGTACTCATTTTGCAAACAGGTTCAGCTAATTTCCTACTTAAAACATTTCAATAACTTTCACAGATCAACTTACAGCATTACAGATTTGTATTCAACTCTGTTGTAAAACCTGCACACAAATAATCCATGTCATTCATCCACTGCTCAATTTGGGAATTCACGGTAATTAATTGACCTTCCTTTATGTCAATGCATATCTTATTGTCTATTGTATTATAAAACAGAGATGCACAAGAAGTAGTTAAATCAAATTTATTATTATCAAATACTGACATTTTTCCATAGTCTGAGTTTCTTTGGATTAATTGTAATTGTAAAGCGTCAAAAGCGTTTCTGACAAGAATCATAGCAACAGGTAATACATCATCGTGAACAACAAAAACTTCAATTTCATAAACTTTCAAATTAAACTTAACATAGCATTTAACTGCGCCGCATAGCAACATATTTCTTCCATAAATTCTACGGTATTTACTCGCGAATGGGTTGGCTAACGTAACATCTTTTGGCAAATTTGATTTGCTTACGAAGCTAACCGGGCTACCGGTATCAAAAAGAACGTTAATTACTATAAATTCTGTGCATCTAAGTTCATTTATATTAAAACTTACAAAATGTTTACCAATTATGTCAGCAACAGCATCATATCATGAACGCTCGAAGTACCACGACCAGCGTAAGAATTTGGCAGTCATAAGTGGATTTGAACATACTCTATCAAACGGTGACGCAATTGATCAAGACTCTCGCAAAAATAAAGTAACGCATTAATACCACTCGTGTCGTTTAATCCGCCAACAATGTGCTTAATTAAATCACGATCTTCCGACTCAGCTTGGCGTCCAGTACTGCACATGGATTAGGTTAGGGCGGCTGTCGGACTATAGCCCGCCACACTTAGACCTCTATGGGTCCATTGTGATCTAAAGTACACATGGATATAAAGTATTGAAATGCAGTTTCACTTTTTTTCTTACGGCGTCTGAGCTACTCACATATCTCCAGTTTTGTGTTTTTACGTCCAAAAACATCCATCATCGGAGTTCGCAAAGCATCCCAATCAGCAGCACCTTGATAAGCGAAGTAACTTTTTGCTGGTCCAATAAGAAGACGCCTCGCATATAACCAATAGCGATTGAGTGGTACTCCCAACACTGCATTTGCAGTTTCAAACTGTTCAATCCATAATTTGACAGGAATGTCATCCTCTCCCAAAAAGGGCTCCACTACCGCCATTATATCCGCGATATCACCCCGTGAAAATTTTGCGGCCATTTTTGTAGCAACTTGGTTCCGCTCTATGTCGCTTAGCGTTGTTTGAAGTCCCGCTACTCCTCGACAAACATCAGCTCGAAACGTGCGTTTATCCAGTCCAATCTGAGCTACGTGTTGCACAAGAGGTTCTGCATGGGCTATCTTGTCTTGTATGTCGGTGTAACCTCCCGCAGCTTGATCTTCAGACACGATTTTGCTTGTCTGGTGCCGCGAAACTATGCTGCCGCCAACAGCCTGATCTTGCAGCACAATGTTGTTTGCAGCTGCCTGACCATGTTCATCATCCGGGCCAGCCTCATGCTTGTCGCTCATTTTGAACAAAGTGTTTGCCGCAATGCGCAATTGGTGTATGGAAGCCCCGACGTCAAAATGCACTTCGTTGGCTCTCAATAGCTGTAATAACTCTTCCTTTGATTGCTTCAATATATCAGAATACAACATGGGTACTATATGTGAAAGCTATGGACAATCACCCCACACCTGAATTGTAAACGATGCTTTTTAATTTAATGATTTTATTTTTTCTCCTTTAATGTTCCGCGTGTTCTCTCTTCTTCTTCAATTACAAGTGGCCTATTTATCTCGACAATCAAGTTCACCATGTAATCGATATCTGTTATCTCATCGATGTATAATATAAATTTACATTATAGTAAGTACACACTAAAATTCAATGCAAAATATAACATTATGTTCACACTTAATACTATTTAGTATATATTCACATATGTTTACTTTAGTATATATATGCATATATGTTTACAACAGGAATTACACACTAAAATACAATGCATAACATTATGTTCACACTTAATACTATTAAGTAGATATTCACATATGTTTACAACTAAAATGTATTGTTCTCATCAATACCTATCGATTGACCCAAAAAAAAAAGTTTGCCACGCGCACTCTTACGCCCACAAACCGCCTAAACCTGCGGCGCCTACAATTTCCATGCTAGAAATAGATTTTTGCTGATATGTATTAGTCAATACCTATCGATTGATTGAAAAAAAAATTTGCCACGCCCACTCTAACGCCAATACAGCTTAAATCTGTCTACCGCCCACATAACCATATATTGAGATCACGGATAGGGGGTGCATTTCAATCTCGCCTCGAGGTACTTGTCTATAGCGTACTTCCTTGTTTTTTAATAGAACCGCCATATGATTTTATATTGCTAAAGCCTAGTACTCAGATCGACGAAAACCGCGAGCTAACCATAAGAGTGAGCGAGAGGCAGATACGCGGCTAACGCTTTTCGTCGGGTCTGTTTTTCAGCGCGGTACTCAGATGAGCTAAGGAAGTACCAGAAAAAATACCAGATTTTGCGAGTGAATTTTCGATGAACGCCGTTAGCCGCGGCCCAAAAAATAAGAAATTTAATCTTTGGCGGTGTTCGTGCAAAGGCGATGTGGAAACTAAAAATTAAAAATGGAAGGAAAACCCCAAAATCGAATCCAGGAGGTCAGTGCAGATGAAATAGGACGCCAAATCCAAGCTTAGGCCCTTTATTGCGGGATCTCACCGACAGGAAGCAATTCCACAAAAGGGGAAAATTCGCAGAATAGTTGAAGTGCTGGAGGAGATCCACTAGAGAATCCCAGTGGGAAGGAACATGCCAAGTGGGACTTCGATCTCTACATGGACATCCTGCCGGGCGCGTCCTCGCAAAGAAAGTAAGATCTGGCCAAAGGAATTTGGTCGCGTTGTACTAATAGAAGTCTCTTTTTAGCAGAACCACCAGTAATACGATCTCCGACGACCTCTCCATGAAGACTCCGGACACCACCACCACCAGCTACTTGGCAGCTTAAGCGGAGCTGGAGGACCCGCTGGCTTCTATAGGGAGGAGGAAAAAAGGGCGCCCGCTAAGGAGCAGTTGGAGAAGCCATAGCCAGCCACTGCCAGGATGCTGGGCGACTTCCTGCAGCATCAGCAGATCAACCCCGTTCCCAATCCGGCTCCCACTTCCTCAAGGTCCATTATGCCTATTGAGACTCGGAGCTGGACTGCGGTGGAGCGGGAAAGATGGCGAAGCATCTAAGGGACGAGAAGGAAGCTTTAAACTACTAATTTACATAAATAAAAACATTCGTTGAACATTCCATTTATTTTTATTTAAATTTCCTTGTGTACCAGCAGACTCCTCCTTTTTAAATTTCTCCATTTGATTTGTTTTTCGTTTGGCGACAACCCCAGCTGATTGACAGTAAGACCATGCTACATGCATTGCGGGTGAACTTTGAAAACTTCAGTCACACTACAAAGAACAAGATTTTTCGACTAGTGAAGCTCTTAGCAGATCTGAGTACTAGGCTTAAATTCAAAATCTCGAAGGACTGCAATTTCGTTAGCCAATACACTGTATTATTTAAATCATATTTATTAGATGTGTGTTATTATCCTCAGAATAAAGTAAAAGATTTGGTTATAGTGGCCAACGGCCAAGCTTGTTCTTTATTGATTGATGGTCATAATTCGAGTGACTTACAGCTAGCTATTTGCGGCTGCGCTGCCTGCAAACATTGGCAGCGGCCGTCATGTATATATAAAAGTATATGCTCACAAATGTATTTGGCTGATAGCCGCGAGAGCGCGAGAGAAGTTGTATATGCATTCATTGTATGTGTCTGTACTCGGGCCATGGGAATATGCTGACACTAGCACTTCCCATAAGTTGGGCTCTGAGTCGCATTCTTATTTTGGCTGGCCGCACGAGTTTAGCGGCTGACAGTTTTGTATTTCTTTAAGTACACTGTAACACAATGTTGGTGTCGGTACAGTGGGTACTCGCTACAATGATACATGCATACTACATCTCCCTCCTTTTGAAAAATAACGTAATGTAATGAAGTTATTTTCTATAGAATATGTTTTGTTTTTTTTTTTAATTTTTTAAAAAGTAATAAAAATGAAATTATTTCTAGTTATTAAAATTATCTTCTAGTACTTATATATTTGAAAATTTAAAAGTTATAGAAATTATTTTGTACCGTTAAAGAAATATAAGAAAGTTGGAAAACGTGTTATTCAAAACTGCTGTTCTAATCAGAAAATATTGATATCATGTTGTTTTTTATATTTATATTTTTTTTTATATGTATGTATTTTTTTTTTTTTAATTTTTTTTTTTTTTTTTTTTAATTTATTTTTTTATATTTATTTGTGGTATTTATTCTATGTATTTATTCTATGTATGGCCATACGTATAAATTGTATAAAAATTATTTTGAAATAAAAAATTTTAACCTATCTTTATGAACTTTTTGTTCTTTGTTTTTAATATTTGAAATTCTTATATTATCATTATCTCCTATACCAATTACTTTATATGGTCCCGTATATTTGTATTCTAATTTGTGACCTGTTTCATTCTTTAATAAAACTTGATCTTCAATTTTTAGTTCAAAATCTAAACAGTTTCTATCATAGTGACATTTTTGTTTTATTTTATTTGATTCGAATATTAATCTGGCTCTTTTGAAAGCTTGCTCTAATCTAAACTTTGTTTCTTTTGCGTAATCATCTATATTATAAATAGGTTCTATTCTTTCTACGCTATTAAAATGTTTTGGTAAATTCGAAGTCCTACCAAAAAATTAACTCATATGGACAATAATCATGTGCCATAGAGGGTGTCGTGTTGAAACAATAAACAAAATATTTTAGCCATATATCCCAATCCGTTTTATCAGTTGAGATGTATGTACGTATAAATTCATTAAAGGTTCTGTGGCTTCGTTCCACAGTTCCGACAGTCTGATGATGGTGTGCTGTCGATGTTATATGTTTGATATTTAAGTTTTTGCATAGGTGTTCGATTAAAGAATTTTTGTATTCTGTTCCCATGTCCGAAATGAACGTCTTCATTGGACCGTACTTTAGAACAAATTCTTTGAATATAGCCTTTGCTACCGTTTTTGCATTTTTATTAGGTACTGGTATGGCAACAAGGTATTTTGACAGATCACATATTAAGGTGACTGCATATTCATTTCCTTGATCTGATTTCGGCAGTGGACCGATCGTATCCACAATTACCTTATCGAATACCATTTCTGGTGTTTCTGTAAGTGTTAAAGGAGTTTTTGTATGTCTTGTCGTTTTTGACATTTGGCATTTTGGACATTTACGTATGTACTGGGTTATGTCTTTACTCATTCCTTTCCAATAGTAGTGTCTTTTGACCTTGGCCAAGGTTTTTATTATACCTGAATGTCCTCCTTGAATAGGGTCGTCATGTAATGTAGACAATATTGCTTCTTTTTCGTTATTAGTTGTTATTAGGGTCACCGGGTTGAGTAGCGCTACTCTTAATGATTTTAATATTTTGTTGCGCATTTTCATACCCGTTACTCGTAGAGTAAAAGGGTATACTAGATTCGTCGGAAAGTATGTAACAGGCAGAAGGAAGCGTTTCCGACCCCATAAAGTATATATATTCTTGATCAGGATCACTAGCCGAGTCGATCTAGCCATGTCCGTCTGTCCGTCTGTCTGTCCGGATGAACGCTGAGATCTCGGAAACTATGAGCTAGGCTATTGAGATTTGGCGTACAGATTCCTGAGCTTCTTACGCAGCGCAAGTTTGTTTCAGTAGACTGCCACGCCCACTCTAACGCCCACAAACCGCCCAAAACTGTAACTCCTACAGTTTTTATGCTAGATAGAAAATTTTAACTGAAATGTATTGTTCTCATCAATACCTATCGATTGACCTAAAAAAAAGTTTGCCACGCCCACCAAAACGCCCACAAACCGCGAAAACCTGTGACGCCCACAATTTGCATGCTAGATAAAAAATTTTAACTGAAATGTATTGGTGTCGTCAATACCTATCGATTGATCCAAAAACTCAGATCGACGAAAACCGCGAGCTAACCATAAGAGTGAGCGAGAGGCAGATACGCGGCTAACGCTTTTCGTCGGGTCTGTTTTTCAGCGCGGTACTCAGATGAGCTAAGGAAGTACCAGAAAAAATACCAGATTTTGCGAGTGAATTTTCGATGAACGCCGTTAGCCGCGGCCCAAAAAATAAGAAATTTAATCTTTGGCGGTGTTCGTGCAAAGGCGATGTGGAAACTAAAAATTAAAAATGGAAGGAAAACCCCAAAATCGAATCCAGGAGGTCAGTGCAGATGAAATAGGACGCCAAATCCAAGCTTAGGCCCTTTATTGCGGGATCTCACCGACAGGAAGCAATTCCACAAAAGGGGAAAATTCGCAGAATAGTTGAAGTGCTGGAGGAGATCCACTAGAGAATCCCAGTGGGAAGGAACATGCCAAGTGGGACTTCGATCTCTACATGGACATCCTGCCGGGCGCGTCCTCGCAAAGAAAGTAAGATCTGGCCAAAGGAATTTGGTCGCGTTGTACTAATAGAAGTCTCTTTTTAGCAGAACCACCAGTAATACGATCTCCGACGACCTCTCCATGAAGACTCCGGACACCACCACCACCAGCTACTTGGCAGCTTAAGCGGAGCTGGAGGACCCGCTGGCTTCTATAGGGAGGAGGAAAAAAGGGCGCCCGCTAAGGAGCAGTTGGAGAAGCCATAGCCAGCCACTGCCAGGAT